TATATATATATACATATCCATACGTACTTTCATATTTATGCCTAAGATCCGAAACCCAGAAGCCTCTCGGCTGCCGAATTTTCGTGCGCGTTAGACGCTGCCAAGCAGCCTCCGCTGTTCGCAGCAGGTGTCCACAGGTGGACGCAGGAGCCTCCACAAACTATGCAAACCTAAAATGACCTTTGAGATTCCATGGTATTCTAGAATCTCTATACTATTCCATAGTAACCTAGGCAGAGGCCTTGGTGGTTCGAATGTCGCTTTTGGGTACGTACACCTGCATATGGAGAACGCCGGTTGCCTTGCTTATTTTTTGTTTCTACACCCCGCCACATGTTTCTTAAGGCTCTACCTGTAGTAGGTTAGACTGCAAGCTTGTACAAAGACGCCAACCCACGACAGAAAAATAGCAACATATAGAATATAGAGTTTACACTGCAACAATAACTTTGAACTCTTGTTTAACAAGTCTGGACAAGCTTTGAAGGCTTACACGACTTTGATAGGCGTCGTAGTCGAAAGAGATTTTTGAAGGTTGCAACAGTCTTTCAGAATTTTCAATAAGTGCAACACTGTCTGAAAAGGCTTCAAAAGTTTGTCGGTAAGGGGGAGACCGTGTTGTGTTGAACTTTGTCAAAGAGCTATATGACTTCCAACAAAAGGATTCCCGGCGCCCTGTCGCATTTTTAATGATGTCGTCTCATGGTCAGCAAGGTTCGCTAAAGTTTAGTAAGTTTACGGCTCCATTTGATGCTCTATGATTTAACAAGAGTTTTGGGGTCATCCAAAATTGTAGTGATGTCTTCAAAGATTCAGTGAGATTTCTCGGGGGCGGTGCACAGCATCTTTAAATTGCAAAGGAGATTCAACAAGACTAAACCCTAAACCCTAAACAATCAGATTTTGCAGGGCCCACGCTGACAAACATGTGCATCTGCAGTTCACTGTTAGCCTGAAACCCCGAGGTTTGAAGGCCAGTGGTTCGAGGGCCCCCTAGATTCTTTTGCGAAATGCGTTTTGGGGTTGTGTTGCTCCGGGCTTTGAGGCGGGGCTGAGGCCGGTCAGGGGTTCAGGGTTGATGTTTTAATTAGGGCTACGCCGATTGCGGTTGTGGACCAAGAGCACGAAGTCGCAGGCGAGCAATAGGAAAAAGATTCACGAAGACAACTTAACTACTGCCACAAAGTCGAATGGAGACACGTGAAGACCATGGAAAAACAACATTGACACACGAAGGCGAATGGAGGCCAAGAAAGTGCAATTAGGCCAAATCAGGACAACACATGACACATGACAAAAAGGTTGTTAAAAAAGGTTCAATACGGCTTTAGGCACGTGGTGTAAGAGCGCCCCCAAAGCTTAGCCAGGAAAAAACACATGGTGTACGTCTTGGGGGGTGGCAGTGAACAAAGGCGGAAATGGTGTTCAGAAGCCCTGTACCTAAACCTTAAACCCTAAGCCCT